GACACATTTAGCCCCAAATATGCGAGAGTTCATAAGAAAAAATCCAACTTGATCATTCCTCCGTACTTAGGTTTTGTCGAAATTATGTGAAATTTTAACTTAAAAATAATATTAAAAGATGAATGTTTACATGACTACAACTGATTACAAATTTACAAATTTCTATTGTAAATTCTATTCTAACCTTGATAAGTTTTTTAAATAAAATTATAAACTTTACAAAAAATTACAAATGAGCTATCGATCCCACTACACGACACGGCTTCTAATTTACAATTTCCATTTTGTGGGTAAAAATATTTCTAAATTTGTCAAAATTTAACGCCATACCAAAATCATGGGGAAATTCAAATAATTAATAATATTACAAGATAAAACACAATCTCAGGAAAATTGGGAAAATTCACCAATTTATATTGAGCTTTATGTATAAGGATTTTATATAATTGCGAACTTTACAAAAAATTACAAAAGAGGCGTCGACCCTACTACATGATACAACTTCCCAAATTATTTACAGGATTCTAAGAAAATCAAAGAATTTCCATTTTTACCATAAAAGTATTTCCAAATTTTACCAACAATATTAAAAGATGAATCTCTGCATGACTGAAAGTTATTACAAATTTATTTTAAGCTCGATAAGTTTTTTTAACTCCATTTCGAAATTATGAGGAAATTAAACTATTACATAATAATAAAAGATCCGGGTGCTGTTCAGGAAAGTGACCAATTTACTTTATAAGGATTTTATATAATTACGGACTTTACAAAATACAAATAAGAAAAAAAATACAAATGAGGTATCGGTCCAATAAAATACTTCCAAACATGGCTTACATGGCTTCCAAATTACTAGTAGCATATTTTTTATTACAAAATTCTAAGCATATTTACCCTAAAAACATTTCCAAATTTTGTCATACTTTTACTCCAGATCGAAATCATGGGGAAATTTGACTACTAAATAAAATTAAAGGGGAAGAGACTGGAAGTTGAGTTTTCTCACTCCGCCTGAAAAAAGTCGGCCGTTTTTTGAACTTTGACCTCAAATATTTTGAGTAACTCTCACCATCGCACAAACTGCCTGAAGAAACGTTAGTTGTATTGGCTTGGACCACCTAATTTTAAAATTTAAGCCAAATCGGAGGGTTACACTTCACACCATCGCATTGTAAGTTTATTCTGAACGTGCAATTCAGGAAATGTGTCAGGCAGGAAAGTAAAACACTCGGAAATGAGTTTGCAAACATTCTTGGCAAGAATATTTAACTATAAAGTGCAAGAATTTCTTGCACGTTATTGTGCAGGGTGGTTTAAATGTCAGGTTACAATGGGAAATTTTCAATGGGAAACATTCGTAAATTTCCATTAGTTACGGATTTGGGATTGAGATTTTTATTAATTTTTATCAAAACTTATGGAACACTGATGACAAAATTCTTAAAATATTGAATTTCAGAGGCAAAATTTCGGTAACTAATGGAAATTTACGAGTTTTTCCCATTGAAAAATTCCCTTGTAACCTGACATTTAAAACACCCTGTATTAAATTTGCGCAGGATCTCTAACTCACTTTCCCATAAGAAACCGCAAATCTTCGATTAATTACAAAATTCATAATTTTCCCAAAGTTCTTACTTGGCATCGAATCATGACATAAATCACAATTTTTTTCCAGACGCTTAAATTTATGCGATGATCCTCCGATTTGGTTGAAATTTTTAAATTATGTGGTCCAAGTTAATACAACCAACGTTTCTTGAGGCAGTTTATGCGATCCTTGGATAGTCAAAATATTTGAGGTCAAAGTTGTAAAATTTTGTACGATTTTTCCCTTCGAATGGAAGTTGGGTAGGTTTGCTTCCTCCGCTTGGTAAAAATCTCCCATTTTTTCAAAATTTGATCAGAAAAGTTATGGCAAGTTTTGTCACTGCTGATTAAAACTATGTGCAATGTTTAACAGTAAAAGTTATGAAGCATATTTTTAAAAAATAAGTAAAAACATGTAAAAAATTTAACTTGAAATTGCCAAAAGACGAATCTGAGCATACATTTAATTTCTCGACACTTTTCAATTTCATACTCGACATGACACTATTCCGATTTTTTTAAAGGTACTCGAAGTGATTCGAAAGTTAAAATTGTGACTACTTACTAAATTGGTACATATTTAGCCTGAAATTTTTCCAAAATTCGCAATTGGCATCGAATAAAGTTTTTTTAAGTTGGAAAAATTTTATTGTGGCAAGAATAAAACAGAATTTAAAATTTAATTGGAGGTATTAAGAGTTTGCATCGTCAGCATGCAGAGTTAGCAATAACACGAAGTTTGCAAAAAAATGGGGTTGAAAATTAATTTTCTAACTTAGGATCTCCTAGGATAGTTAGCAGAAATATTTCCAAAATTATGTTGCAAACTCGAAATGAATACACTCAAATTCAAAAATTTATTATAATTTCATATTTATGAAAAGATACCATGTCACAAAATTTCAAAGTTTCATAATTTTCCACTCACTAGGCCATTAAACTGAAATATCTGAAATTCATTCAGATATGAGAGCGGTGTTTTCAAGAAATTGCCCAGCCTGCACCGACCGAGTTAAACACGTGTTATATTGGTGTCCCCGGTGTAAATCCCGTGTTGGGTGCATTATTCGTATAAATATTTTTTTAAACACGAAATTAATTCGTGAAAAAAGACCGAATTTTACACCGCATCTTCAAAACGAATTTTCTCGATTAAAACACGTGAAATACTCGAGTATGCTAATAACCCGAGACTCGTGTCATAATCGCGAGAAATACACGAACTTTACCAGTGTTTTTGCACATGCGAAACTAAACACTGTCCCTTTGCTATTGAGGTGGGAGAATTATTTTGTTGCATGTCTCACATAATAAAACCAAAAAGTATGGACAAGACACGATCTAGAAAATTATTTCGCAAAGCAAGACAAGGAACGTCGGATTTTTCCTTACTTTCTGAAAGTGGTGATCGAAAAAATCAGACAACGCCAAAGCCACACCCAAAAACTTCTCATCCTGAGGCCGCAACTCCGCAGTTCGATTCGATTTCTGGGGCAGATGACCTGTACTCTTCGGACTACTCTGATAGTCATATCTTCACAGAGTCAGATTCTAGTGATAGTGATTGTGATAAGACTGATACCAGCAGTTGTACAAGTGATTTAAGAACATGGGCAGTTAAACATAATATTACTTTCTCTGCTTTGAGTGATCTGCTGGATATTTTAAAACGACGTCCTGGCTTCGATTTACCAAGCGATCCAAGGACACTATTACGTACGCCAAGAACTTGTGCTATTGAAAAGGTTGAACCGGGCGAGTATGTACATTTTGAGTGGATTTCATTAATAGAAAAATTACTTAAAGGTGCACAGTGCACAACCAACATTCAAATTAATATTGACGGAATTCCTCTCTATAAAAGCAGTGCCAGACAATTTTGGCCAATTTTAGCGAATATTGTAGAATTTAATGAAGTTATTGTAATAGGCATTTATTCTGGTCTGGGAAAGCCCGCAAATATTAACGATTTTTTGAGTAGATTTGTCAACCAATTCATTAGATTAGAACAGTCATTAGTTTTGAAATTTAAAATATCTGCAATTGTGTGTGATGTGCCTGCAAGATCATTTATTTTAGGGACAAAGTGTCATAGTGGTTACAGTTCTTGCGGAAAGTGCGACATAAAAGGCGAATATTTGGATAATCGGGTAACATTTCCTCCGGGAAATTATAATTTAAGAAATAACGAATCTTTTCGATCAAAATTTGACCAGGCTCATCATAATCAGGACTCTATAATAGAATTACTTCCTATAGATTTAGTAGAAGATGTGCCGGTTGATTTTATGCATCTTGTATGTTTAGGAGTGACGAGAAAGTTATTGTTTTTATGGTCGAAAGGAAAAAAGTGTACAGGGCGCTTGCGACCTCATCAAATTGACCAATTATCCATTAATTTGTTAAATATCAAGAAGTCAATACCAAAGGAATTTGCACGAAAACCGCGTCCAATTAGGGATGTAGATCATTGGAAGGCAACCGAATTTAGGCAGTTTATTTTATACACTGGTCCTGTAGTGTTGAAAAAAATTCTTCCTCTGCCATTTTACCAACATTTCTTATGTTTTCACATTGCAATTGCAATTCTTGCCAATCCTAACACCTATCTCAGCAAAAATAATTACGCAGGGGAACTATTAGAATATTTTGTGAATAACTTTGGTTCATTGTATGGAAAGAAATATTACAGTCATAATTTGCACAGTTTATTGCATTTATCTCGAGATTGCAGTCGACACGGTCCTCTTGACCGCTTTAGTGCGTTTCCATTTGAGAATAAACTACAACAAATAAAGAGATTGGTCAGATCTCCATCTTACCCCTTGCAACAAGTTTGCCGGCGGTTGATGGAAAGAGAAGAAGTTGAGTTGGCTGACCACGTTGAAAAATATGAACAACTAAAATTTTGCCAGGTTGAAACTAATTCAAGTGAGAGATCTGAGTGTTTTAGAGTGTGCAAATTTACCAATTTTGAACTATCAGACAAACCAGGAAATAATATTTGCAAGTTAAAAGACGGAAGTGTTATAAAAATCCACTATTTTGTTCGATCTTCTCCTCCAGAAATAATTGGGAAAAAGTTTAAAAGAAGCGAAGATTTTTTTCACTCTCCGTGTCCATCATCTTTAATTGGTGTGCAAATTGTGAAAGAATTGAGTAATATAAGAAGATTTGACCTTAATTTAGTTGAAACAAAGTGTGTACTTCTTCCACTGGAAACAGAATTAATTTGTTATCCTCTAATTCACAGTGCAATCCAGTGACTTTTTACCATGCGATTTTCTATAGTAAATTTTATTGAAACTAACGAGATAGAGATTATCCCAATAAATTGGTTGTCACCATCAAGAGATAAATGCTGGTGGCCGCCGTTTAAATCTACCGAACGCCAATTGAAGGCCGCTATGGGTGGAGACAATCCAAGTAAACAATGGTTATCATTCGACGTGAAGGTTGTTGGAGGAGGTAAAATATTTGGTGAGTCTCCTTTTTTATTGTAGTCGTGAAAAATATTTACAAAATAAATTTATTTTCTATTCAGAATCATACCAACAAGCCAAGAGTCAGCTTGGCAAAGCCTTGGATGAAACCGAACCGGAATTTGAAATTGATTTCGAAGTGACAGGTCGTGGGCAACGTCACAAGAAAAGTCAGCGTCAGGAAGAGTCAAGCGATTCGGAGAGAGAGGATGGACTTACTAAAATACCATCAAAGCCGAATTTTCCAATTCCGCCCCCACCACAATATTTTGGTTAGTCATCATAATGTGAAATCATATAATTTGTTGCTCCGTCTGCTTATTCTGTTATGTATAATTGCACATTCTACTGGTATTTAGCTTTAGTTGGAGGTATATCGCAACGTTCAGACCGTCAAGATGACCATGAATCAGGCAGCTCTATTCATCTACCGCGTCACTCACCACCAGTAAGTGATTCCCATTCACAGCAAGAAAATGAGGAAATTACTTCCAGGTCAGCAAATTCATTGACCTTTAACAAACTCCACTCCCCATCACCACATGGTCAAATGAGAGACCTCTCCCCAAATAACATGCTGCGTCAACATTGTACCGGTGAATTGGTCAATGTTTCGAGCAACCATAGCGTGGAGATCGACACGCAGGTCGAGATAAATCAGGAAATCTCTGCAAATATAGGTAAGAAATTTATTATTTGAATAACGCGACTCGACACGGTCTTATTAAGCTAAAGATTTGTAAATATTTTTCTGCAGAATTTCAAAACTGGATGGTTAGACAAATGAATGTTGTGAAAGCCCAATTGCGACAACTACAAGAATGTGTGGACGCCTTGCTCAATAGCTGCAATTTGAACGGACAGGGTGGTGGTCAAAGTTTAAATACGTTGCCAGCTGGATTATTACCTGTGGATTGCGATTCCGACTTAAAAAAACTCGAAGATTTTGCGACGGAATCCAGGAACACATTGGTAGAATATTACGTGCAACACATTTGATAATTACTTTGATAAGTAATAAATGCATCGCTGCTGGTGTTAGTGCTAATGATACAGTATTAATTATTTATGTATTTATTTTTCAGATTCGAGAACTGCAGAGGGGCCTAGGTGCGACAAAGACGGCACAAAAGGCTACTCAGCGGATACTGTCGAAATTGTTGACGGATACGTATGCGTCTTCATATAACTGGATTGGTTCGAGAGGAGAAAAGACAGCTTTTTCGAAGTCTTTGATGACACACATTATTTTTGGTAGTTTTCATGAATATGTTACTACTTTAGTGTGTAAGATAAATTTTTGTAACTGGTCACTCTTTTTCAGAAGCGATTCATGGAATCCCGAAATTGAGCGACGCTGGCGACGACGAGATTTCAAACGCTATTAAAGATTGGCTAAAGAATTCCAATAAACGTATTGAATCTGACAGGTACGAAGACAGCAGGATTTATTTATATGTAATTTTAAAATTAAGAATTGTAAACATTTTCAACTGCTTAAGCAGGAAACGCTTGGCAAAATCCAATGCAAATCATCCATCCGTCATTGCTGGATTCAACTCCGACGATTAATTTATACTCTATAAATTTTAATTTACTTTTGGTACCTTCTAAATTCATCTTCATTTAATTGTCTAAATTTGTAGAATAATATAGAAGTTATAAAGAAATAAAAATCGTGAACGTAAATTTTCATGTTGTAATACGTGTTTTTTTGGGGTAAATCTCGTGGCTAAATACGTGTTTTTTTGGGGTAAATCTCGTGGCTAAATACGTGTTTTTTTGGGGTAAATCTCGTGGCTAAATACGTGTTTTTTTGGGGTAAATCTCGTGGCTAAATACGTGTTTTTTTGGGGTAAATCTCGTGGCTAAATACGTGTTTTTTTGGGGTAAATCTCGTGGCTAAATACGTGTTTTTTTGGGGTAAATCTCGTGGCTAAATACGTGTTTTACTGGGGTAAATCTCGTCGATGTGGTGTGAAACTCGTTCTTGGAACACGTGTAAAGAACGAGTTAGATACGTTAAAAAGAGCGACACTTGCCCCCAGTTTAACACCAGCTCTCTACCAGTTTCATACGTGTTTAACACGAATACTGGGGTCACCAAACTCGTTCAAAACTCATGTTAATCTCGTGTTTGTGCAGGCTGGGTGATTTGATCAAGAATTTTTGATTTTGATTTGATCAATTTACGGCTTTCGTGCTGGTATTCGAGTTGTTTAAATTTGTTCAAACAAAAGTTAAAACTAAGGATGGAGATCCCCAAGCATATGTTCTCTGATTTTGAGCAAATTAGTATCAATTAATCATAAATTCAATTAGTATGGAATTTTCAAATGACACGATTTCCCAATTGGCACGTTTGGCGGAGATATTTGCATCCGAAGAGGAGAAATAAATTTGCGACGTGTAAAATTTGTCAACTTTTTTTGAGAAAAAATCAAACTAAATTATTCCGTTTGAGCGTTCCTCCGTTTTAAATTATGAAAATTTATAAAAGTGATTACAGATTTATATAAAGCTCGGTAAGGTTAAAAAAATACAATTATGAACTTTACGAAAAATTACAAATGAGCTGTCCATCCAACTACACGGCACGGCTACCAAATTATTTATAGGGTTTGAAAGAAATCCTACAATTTTCATTTTTTCGGTAAAAATATTTCCAAATTTTGCTAAACCTTAACTCCATTTCGAAATTTGGGTAAATTTTGCTAAAAACTAACATTAAAAGATAAAACATACCCACATGGGAAAATTTACAAATTTTGAATTTATATCAAGGTTTGTAAGGCTGTTATATAATTGCGAATTACAAATGAGGTGTCGATTCAACCAAATACACGACACGGCTTCCAATTTACTAATAGAATTTTTTTACCCCACAATTTCCAAGCCCTAAAAACATTTCCAAATTTTGTCATACTTTTACTCCTGATCGAAATCATGGGGAAATTTGACTACTAAATAAAATTTAAAGATGCGTACTTACGCTGATAGAGTTTACAAATTTGTATTAAGGTCGATAAATTTTTATAAAATTACCAACTTTACAAAAAATTGCAGATAAACTATAACTCCAACTGAACAGCTTCCAATTAACTTTGAGCATTTTAAAAAATCCAACAATTTCAATTTTTTTTGTTAAACGTAAATTTTGGCATACTTATACTCCATACAGAAATTATGGGGAAATTTAAGTAACGAATAATAATAAAAGATATGGCACTTAATCTGCAAATTAGAATTTACGAAGTTTTCAGCGAAAAAACTTGTAGAAAAATCTTGTTAATTTTATCACCTAAAAAATTCTCGATTTTGTCAACTCGCTACAATTTTTCTTAACAAGCTTAGCCAAGTTTCAAACTGCGATTCATTTTACATACGGATATACTCATATTTCTTGAAATATCCGACAATTTCCTTTAAAAAACGCTAAAAAAAATAAAATCAAAGATCATTCCCTTTCAGTTTTATCATACTTTTATCATTTTTCAAAAATTAAGGCAAGTTCTTTTACCAAACCCGTCGGAAATACTAATACCTTGATAGACATCTCCAAAAATTATGTCATCCTTATTTTTACACGTTTTGACATTTTTGAAATCTCAAACAATTCGATCTTTCATTACGAAATCGGATTAGGCGATGTCTAAGAAAACGCGGAGAAAATTAGAACAATACCGTTTCTATAAAGCATTTCGTATCTAAAATTGATTTCAAAATTTTCAAAATTTTCAAGAGGAATCAAATGATCAGAGTCTGATCAAGGTAAAAAAAGCTGAAATATTTTATTCACTTATTCCTATGAAAAATTTATATGATAAATTAATTCTTGGAAATAGACGGTTCCAACAAACCAACAAAAATTTAAATCTAATGTTTACAAACAAGTGTATTACGAACGTTTTCATAATTCTATACTGGCATGAAACCTCAAGTTGTAAAAGTATATAAAAGTTGAATTATTTGTGCGGTTGCCTTATTTAAGATTTCAACATCTTAAAATAAACGTTCGGAAATTAACTCGTATAATTCATGTGATCCATATGAAATTTATACACTATTAGAAAGAAATTCGTCCGAAATTCATTAGAAATTCATCACAAACAAATTAGCATATTTAGAAAAAAAAACCTTTGGACAAATTTATTAGAGAAGAAAATTCACCTGCACCTCATTTTGGAAGCACGAATTTTGCTAAAAATCTTAACCGATATCAACTCATTACAAAATGCAAATGTAGTTGCCTTAAATTTATCCAAGTAAAAGACGAAACACATATTACATTTTTAATTGACACGCTTTATTAATTCAACAAAATCATAACAAAAACCTTAGTGACACAGATATCCATCATCTTAACCTTAATAACATTACGAATTTATAAGAAAAATTCCCCACCGGCGTCAAGTTCGAAAAATTTCCCACCTGCGTCAAGTTCGAAAAATTTCCCACCTGCGTCAAGTTCGAAAATATAAACGATTGTTTCGCCTCTCTAAAACATTTTCAAACAAGTTGAGCAAAATTTTTATTGGTACACTTTTATCTTAAAATTCATAGATACCAGGAAATCTATTGCGAAAATACATCTGTAGATTTTTTGGGCAAATCTATAAACGAAATTCTCATCTTGAGACCAGCAATATTAATCTGCGATTAACTCACGAAATTTCGAACGTAGGAACAAGTACGCCAAGTACAATTGTACTACATATAAAGTACGTAATATCACAGCACTCAATTTCAAAATCTATAAATTTTCATAAATTAATTCACCTGTCGTTAGAAAAGCTAGCATCTTTAAATAATCAATAAATTACGATTTTCTCAACATTCTCAAACCGGCATTAGGTCAAAACAAATTTGGAATAATTTTTTCAAAATTTCGAAAAAAGTTAAAACTCTAGAAAACTGTAGTAAAACTTCGCTTTCATATGATTGGTAAAGTGTACAATTTTGATACATTCTTATTTCATGACAATCTTAAATCATGTATCAGATAATTTCTTGAAAAAAATGTTCGAAAATTGAAAAAAGCGATAATTTTCAAATTAAAGTTCAACAAGATTTTTCACTTTGCATTATTAATTTCCCAACAATTCTCAATTAGCATCAATTCAAAATGCAAATTCACAACTGGCATCGATCCATGAATAATGTAAAGTAAGATTTTTCATTGTATATATTTTTTTTAATCGAAAAGTTTTCACAAATTAGTTGTGATGAACTAATTCAGCGTGTTTTCAACTGTGGGATACGAAAAAATCTACAACTTACACTATAGATTATGATTTTCGCAAAAATTCGCAAACCGCCCTCAAATTTATACATAGATAGTTCAGCAACGTTTTCTTTTAAATTTCGTCCAAACGAAACAGAAACAGAAACATTTGATAATCAATCTCCTTAAATTATTTTTTAATTAAACTTCAACAACTTTTTGATCTTAATTTAACTATGGCTTATTAATTACTCGATAATTCTCAATTAACATCGACTCGTGAGTATAAGGTGACGTATAATTTTTCAGTGTAGTATAATTTAAAATTACAAATTTTTACAGAAACGCAAAATCGAAAATTTTTCATACATTCTGAATTGATTCCGATGAAGTACGATGCTACCTACACGTGATGAATGAATTATGAATTTTTCTAAAATTCTCAAATTGGCACCAAGTCGTTACATGCATATTTACATAACGCTTCTTATCATTCATTAATAAATATTTGCGTAAGGTTTCTTAAAAATTTCATCTAGTTTCATTTCAGTGTGTATACATATTTAATATATTTTTGAAAAAAGATCAATAAATGTTCATAACTTCATTATCCTGAATTAATTCAGACTTCAAAAAAAACTATCGTCAGGTGATTACTTAATTACGAATTTTTCTAAAATTCTCGAACTGGCAACAGGTCATTGCATAAATATTTACGTAACACTTCGTAAGTTCATCTCGTTTCATTTCAGTGTGCTATATTTGCTCTAATTAAAAAAAAAAGATAAAAAATTTCTTGGAGAACTTTAAAAAAATCTAAAAATTTAATTTAAAAAAATCTAATGTAAAAAAATTTATAAAAATGTAAAAAAAATTTATCTCATTAAACATTTCCATATCTAAAACAGATAAATAAATTATGAATTTTTCAAAAACTCTCAAACTGGCATCAAGTCGTTAAGAAAAAGCAAAAATGCGGTTAATTTTTATATAATTGATACGCTCTGGTTTC